GGTTCAGCGTATGCCAACCTTTAATGCTTTTGTTGTTGTTGTGTGTGTTTCTATCCATACAGAAAAACTAAAACCACACTTCAACTCTCACTGAAAGCTTTAGAGCTTTAGCCGTTAAACTATGAAAACAAGTAAAGACAATTTGTTATTGCCCAAGCTCAACATACGATTTTATTTTCCCCAAAGGTGCTGGAATTATTACATGCACAATGTAACTATAAGCAACACCTTTGTTGTTTTGAGCCCTTTCTTACCAAAGAAGCAGCTCCAGCCAAAATTAACTGAGCTGAAGTTTGTGTTTGAAATATGTCCATTTGGTCATTTCTTGTTTTGAATGAAGTTCTATTCCATTCTTCACTGTAGTGATTTGAAGAATTTGTGTGTAAAGTTCTTTTTTACTTTCATGTTACAGTTAACTAGTTCTCAGTGCAGGTGCTAAACAACCTCTCAAGGAAGCTCCAGAAGAAAGTAAAATATATAAAAATCTATCCAAAGTCTGCAAATAAATTAAGAAACGAAACTGTAAAGTGTCACAAGATTTGTGGTATGAATACAAACCCTAAAACATAGTCTAAGAGGAGGACCAAAAGAAAGTCCCTGGGTCAGGACAAACCAAGCCAATTTTAAGTAAGGATCTTAACAGAAGCGTTGCACAAAGAACGGCATGGTTTTCCAACCACGTATTTCAATTCTTACACTATCAATTGAATAAAGGCAACAAAACCCAGTTACTCAGAAAACCTTTCTAGCACAGAACATATTTCAAAGGCAGTTCAGCTCACATTTCAAACAGCTATAGTTCTCATGAGGTTTATTGCCTGTCAAAATTAATGGTTAAGCTTTTCAAGTCAGTATGGGACTTTCTGCACTTCCTGATGTTATAGACATGCTGCTATTGTATAGACTAGTTAGTTGTTGTTGTTCTTTAAACTATGAGTTGGTAAAAACTTAGAATGTTTAGTTTTGCAAATATTGCTCCTCCTGGCTTATACATTTTGCATAATGTGTTAAAAGCACAAGGAGTTGATAGTCTTGTACAGATGCAACTTGACAATGTATTGACTTCCTAAGTTAACAAAATAAAATTTAAAAGCAAGTCACATAAAGCAACAATCACTACTGCAATCACACATGTATGTTGTAAGTCATCACTCCCCCACCCACCACACACATAACTTGCCCCACACATTCTCTCAGAAACACAAAATGAACTACGAGATTTACTAAATTACAGCCACAACAGCAGCTAACTGCAGCAGCCACAGGATTTCTTTCAAGTGAAGCACTCACCCTTTGCATTTAAAACATTGAACACTCTGAGCATTTTAGATAGTTTCAGTCATTCAGGCTCAAGTTCAGTACAGGATGCTTTTGCAGGTTACATGAATGCCATCATCTGCAACAAGACAACATTCTCACTACTCGTTACAAAAGTCACAACAATCCACACATCACCCCAGTGGTTTATTATTTTTGGTGTTACTCTTTAAACGTCTGCCCCACATTGGCAAGTTGCTAAAAAGGACAAAAAAAAAGAAAAAAAAGGAAAAAAAAACCCCACATTGCCTCCATACCTACAAAAAATCCTTGGCTTCTCCAGTTAGCAAGAATACAAACCATGGTATCCTCAGTGTTGGTTTGCGGGAGGGGGGAATCATAGGATAGAAAACACAGTTTCTGTAAGTCTCTAAAGCACAACCCTGTTGTTCCTACTTCAAAGTTATGAGATTTACTGAATGAAGACTGGACAAGTCATTCATGCTTTTCTCCTGCATTCAGAAAGGCACTGATAGATTACAGTGTTAAGTATTTATCTCCCAGTTCTTAAAGAACAAAGCCTAATGTGCAGAAAGCTGAAGTCTCTGAATAGCAGAAGTAGTTGTAGACACTGCGATGCCAAGAAGATAGTAATAGTGGTAGGGCTACAGTTACGAATGAAAATAACTGCAATTAAGATGCAAAAAAGCAGTGGTACTACTAAGACAAGCACATGCACATCCATTCTTGATTTGACAACACAATCTAGTCTAGTTCAAATAGCCAAGAATTTAACAGTTTTTTTGGGGGGGGAAAAAAAATCTTCAACAGGACAGCTGTGTCCTCATCTATAAAATAAGCAAGAAGAGAAAGATAAATACACATCTGAATCCATTAACTGAAGAGGAAACTCAAGTTGTTGTTTTAGAGCTACAGACCCTCAGGAAGAATAGTTTTCCATCTCATGTTACTTTTAAATCATCTGTTCTACTCTGCAGTTTTTATAGTTGAGTTCGAGAAAAAAGCTCCTCCTCACATGGGTCAGCCCATTCACTGCCACCTTCTGAAGCTGTGTCTTCAGAGCTGGAGCTATCACTGGAGTAGATCTTCTTCCTGAAGCCATTTGGTTTTGCCTCAGCATTTATATCATCTGCACATCTTGCTTCATAAACAGAAGAAACCTAAGGATTTAAACTCACAGTGTTGATGGGGAACAATAAAAAACATGCTTGCTTTTTTCTGAGCTGGCAGGTTATACAGTTTTGTAGTTGTTCAAGACAGAGGTGACAATTACAGGGCAAGTCCTCCACTTCCCTGACTTAGTCCACTATGCAGAAAGGACTGCAGAACAGCAGGAAAAAAGGTGGGGCCTTTATCATTTTTTCCTATTCCTTCATTTTAGGATTTGCACAAAACAGTTACCTCCAAAATTTGGTAGTATTAAATATCAAGAAAACACAGCACAGATCTGATTGAACTTCAAGCAAAACCAGTATATTTTCGGCTGAATCAGTAAAGCTATAGCAAGCATGTCAGCATAAATTTAAGTGCTATCATCACTATAGAGTTTAAAAGTGTATCAGTAAGTGCACGTTTTCCCTACAGCAAAAAATCAGGTTTTTGTTCATTAGCAGGACAGAATTCAGCATACATTATGTTTACGCCTTTAATTACTGGTCCTTTCTGCCTTCATAGTGCACATCAGCCCACTCTACGCTTACTGAAATTAGAAGTTGAGGAAAAAAAGACTCAGGTTTAACACACACGACAAGCAAAAGCCAAGCGTTCCCAAAGGAAACTGAGTTTGCTGAACTACTACAAGTACAACTCTTTGCACAAAGGGCTGTACTCCCCAAAGTACAACACTGAGGAGTTTTCAGAAAAACACTCAAGATGCAGAAGAGATTAAAACACAAAGTAAGGAAAGACAAGCTTTTGAAAGTTTTCATAGGAATTTCATTTGAGGCCAGACTGAAAACTTTGATGAAAGGAAAGACATGGTGGCACACCCTTATAAAATAAACAATAAACCTCCTCCCCCAAACCAATGACACACTTACCATATTAAAATCTAAAAGATGTTCATCATCATTGGATATTTCCTTTACATCTGCAAATTCTCCTACACCATTCTCTCCCTTGGCATTTGTATAACACTCTTACATTGTGTTTGTGGGGGTGTTTCAGAAGAAAAAGGAAGAAAAAACAGAATTGAGGAACACTGTTATTTACATTTGGCAGCTATTTGTGAAATTCACTCTCTAAGCCATGTAAATTCTGTGCTTGTGGGGAATTTTACAGTTTGACATCCTTAAAGAGAGAAGCATAATACCTTATGGAAGCTTCATCAAATCTTACCTGGATAACCAAATAATAAAAAAAAGAAGCTACTTAGTTAATGAAAACGTCTAAAATAGTAAGGTACAAAGAGCAAGAATTACTTTTTTACAAATGGTTCACTACATTTTTCAATTCTGATACTGCACAGTGTTTTAGATCATTCCTATTTCTATACCCATACAAAATATCAGGCTGCAACAGCAGCCTGATCCTGACTGAAGCTCAAAAAAAATGTGGTTTTTATGGCTGTGGTTTCTACTTACCAGAGTAAACTTCCGTGTATAATATCAACATATATCATATCGATATATATGGATCACATGCATCAATATAAAAAATACCCATACAGAAAACTGGATACAGCTAAAGATTTGTGAAAGAGTAACACTAGCTCTGAGGGTAAAGCTCTAGTTTTGTTAAACTTAGTCTAAAAGAGGAAATCCTAGAACTATTCTACTTCACAGAAATTCTGCCACCGTATCACGCACGTTCTGGACTCCATAGTATTTTATACTGTATATTCTGTCTTCCTCTGATGAAATAAGGTGGTGAAACACTGAGACAGTTACGCAGGTTCACCAGCAGATGTCAGCAAAAAGATGACACAATTCACTCACAGGAATTCAAGGATTACTCTGGGTAAAATATACTTGAGAGTGCGAGTCACTACATTTGCTAGTACAGTAATACCTCTGCAATTATCACTGTGGGAAAAAAAAAACCTTTACAATAGGACACTAAATATCTCTACTTTGTAAATACTGATTTTTTTTTCTAACGTGGGAGATTCTGTGACCAGTCCAGGAGGCAAATCAAAAGTCCTATAGGCATCAATTTATTCTCTTTCACTGTGCAAACACATTTCTATAGTTGGGAGTGAAGTAAGTTAAGATGTTCTTGAAAGTAATCCAAACTGTCCTAAACCTTACCAAAGTAAGGGCATTTAGGCACCAAGAATACCGATCAGTTGGTTGCACTTTAAGGTGCACTCCAAAAATAGTCCAGTAATAATTACTGGCTAATCTAATTCCAGATTATTAAGGAACCCACCTCTGATCAAAAGTTTCTTGCACTGAGCCTCTACCAACAGAAAGCATCAGATAGCCTGTCAATTCAATACTCAGAATGTTCTTATTTAACTTCTTGCCTTCTCCCCAGAAAAGGTAAATTGGTATGCAGGCAAAAAAAAGCTGTCTGGATTCTTGCCTGTCCGCTGAAAGCCTGGGCTGGGGCCAGCTGTCAGATGCTACGAATTCTTGGGAGGCAAGAGGGAGTGCTGGAAGCACACCTGCTTCCGCTTGCGAGCAGCCTGCCTACCAAGACTGGACTTACTCTCTGTGTGGCACAGAAAAATTCCCAGATTGTCACTGTGAAAGGAGTGGCCAAGAGGCAAATCCCTGTCCTTCCCAGCTTGAGAGAAATTCCACACATTCACTGAATAACTGGCATGTTATTTATGTGACCCCATAAAAGGTAATTATAATGTTTTCACATTCTTATAAAATTAGCTACCTAATAGGTATTATTCAGGTTGAAACATATTCAAAAATGTAATAAAGTATTTTCAGTGTCAGAGATTAATATTCTATTTATTTAATTACAGGCTCCGGAATTAAGTAAATTTGCATAAATGTTAAGACTATTTTAAAAGCACTTTCATTTAAAAACTATTTAGAAGCATGCTAGAGATCTATTACAAATGTAACTGAAGCATCCCAGTTCTCTCTCAGACGAGAATTTATTGTGGAAGTTTACTGGGTTTTTTTAAAATAGAGATGGTAGTTCCAATTCATCTGCAACAATTTAAATCCATAAGAAAGCATTTCATTCTAACACAGGTGCAACAGCAAGTTAGTTCAAACAGGCATAGCTTCTTACCTTCACACTGTGATGCAGGAAAAAGGGGAGAATAGAGCGCCTTTTCCCACCAGCATTGCTTTTCCTGGCTGCCACTCATTCTCTGCAGATTAGCATTCAATATAGGAAAGTGTTTAGACAATAATCACACTTCATTATGCCATAAATAATATACTTACATGTAAAGGAGGAAACTCTGGTATTACAATCAATTTGCTAGGTCTTACAGGTCACACTGTTGAATTTCTAATACTAATGGGAAAGGGCTGTCAAACTACAATAGAACATCCGTTATCTGAACTCTTATACTCAATATGAACTCCACACAGGGGCTCATACTTTGCTGATACAGAGTTGTACAAACCAGAACAAAAAGATGAATTCCAGCCCTACACTGTATATAATCTAAGTACGAAACAAGAGAGAACAGATAGCTACGCAAGAGATGAGAATATAACGAAACATTAGTCAACAGGACAAATAGTTCAGTGTAAAAGAAAACAGAAAAGAAAGCAAACAAAAAGTGGCAAAATTTAATGTTTAAAGTCCGGAAGGGTGAATTAGCAGTACCATTACCATCAATGGGATAACATAAAGTTAAACTAGAGAATGAATGTGTCAACATGAGGAAAAACTGGTTATGAGGATGATTAGTAAGTTGTCTTTATGCTAAAAATAATCTCAATCTACTCATTAAAAGTGCCTAAATACTCTCCCCCCGCCCCCCCCCATATTTGAATGCTAATTTAAATTTACCAGAGCCCTTTCCTTGTAAAATTAATGGACATGGCTAAAATACCAAAGGCTTGTCACAACAGCCATGTCCCTAGTTTTATGACTGCATCTGTGGTAACCCCATTAACCTTCAAAAGATGATGCCAGCTTTTAACATCCCCTATAGATATTAGATAGAATGATTCAAAAACAAACTATAGTGCAACTAGCTACTAAAAAACACTATCAAATGAACGTCAACACTGAGTCTCTATCCAGCCTCTTCCTCTGTAAACCTGAGAACATTTAAGCATGGAAAACTAACAAGCCTCCTTTTGTTCCTCTTTTGTAGAACTACAAACCTATAGAGCCTAAACTGACAAATGCTTATTACTTAATAAAGAGAAGTCTCTCTCAAACCAAATAAGCAGCTCAAGAGTGCTCTATTCAGAAGCATCTGCCAGATTAAACTTTTTCTCCCACGAAATTCTGCTATAATGAATATTGAAATTATCCATGATGGTTTCCTCTCATAACACCGAGGAATCACCCTCCAAAAGCTTAAACCCCAACTCCAGAAAAGGGAGTTCTTAGAAAGTTAAACCATAGTTTAAAAAAAAAGAAAAAAGAAGGAAAGAAAGAAAAAAAAGAAAGCTCAAGAGTATTTGAAGCAGGACTTCATAAGAAATATGTGCATTTACAAATGAATTCAATCACAGAGGCCTCACTCTGCTGCTAACTACAGATAGAGGCATCTATATTCCACAGACACAATGCTTTATTAACTTCAAAGTTTCCCATGCTGCTGGTGTCACACCTGCACTCAGATCTGCACAGGTGGTAAGCTGGATGAACGACAGCGGGTTACAAGCAAAGCCAGCTTGAGTCTGGCAGGGTATAACAAGCTGCAGCAGTGTTGCTTCCTGGGCTAAGTCACCATCAGAGCCTATGTATCTGCTTCAGGATGGCTCGGTGACTGAACTGATGCTGGCTGCAGGCTGCCTCAGCTCCCACGTCCTTCCACCACTGCCTTGATACCAAAAGAGTTCAAGAAAGCCAGAGACACGTCTTTTGGCTGCACGCAGAAGCAGCCCAGCAGGGCTTCAGTCTGAGCTCAGACCTGGCCCTCTTGCCCCCACACTGACCCTTGTGGAATGACGTGTGTTATTTCTAAACCAGCGTTAAGGTCAGATGTGTAAAGCAAAAGGACGGATGTAAAGACCCACTATCCATACTAAAGCCATTTGGGGGTTTTGTTTGGGAGGTGACGGGGGACACGGGCTGATGTCCATTTTATACATTCACTGAAGAAAACCATTTTCTCTTACAGTTGCTTAGATGTTTACTACGATTGTACAGTCTGTCATGATGAAAATTGCTGAAAATTAAAGAAGTACCCTTAATTAGTAAATAAGAAATACCAACTCCAGAATAGTCCCATGACTTTACCTTCCTTTTCTTTCCCTTTTAAAACTGCATTTTCCATTTATGCCACCTCCTCCTCTCACACATACTCACGTGCACTTCCAGTATTTTATCGAAAGTTTTAATAAATTTCCCAGCCACCCATCTAAATAGCTATTATTCTCAATTGTACTAATATTAGAAATTACAAGTGGAAGTCTTTCCCCTCTGAAACTATTCATATTTATTTTACTTTGTTCTTAAATACAGCTCAAAGACAACATGGCAAAACTAACTGCGATGCTGTTGCACTCCCAGTCTTGCTGCAGGTCTGAGAGAACACTGATGGGTTTCCTTTCTTGTTATACAGCTAGACATATGATAACTAAGGCTTCTCTTAGAGCTTCTGGTTGAGGATATATAAAATCACTTGAGGACTTTAGCATTCACTGGCGTAAACACTACAGTAATATTATAGTTATGAAAGGTCCCCCTCCCCCCAAATCCTGGCAGATTTCAGTCACAATTGTCTATGAATTTTCAGTAGATTCAGGTCAGAATTGTGAAGTTACATGCAAAAACTAAAACTTCAATTCTGCTTCTGTCCCCCTCTCTACTGAGAGTTAAGCCAACAGCAGAAAAAAAATCATTTTAATGTTTGCTATTGTTTGTATAAAAGTTTGAAAGAGTAAAATAGTTTCAAAACTTTAAATAGCATTTATATGTTTTTCATTGGCATCTGGCTCACATCTGTTCCTTCCAACATCATTTTATGTCTGTTTTCTCAAATGAACCTTCCTAAGAACTTCATACAACAGCAGGGCTGTCCACTTAGGTCTTTTATCCAAAATCTCAACTGAAACTTCTGGTATACAAAAGAACCACCATTCTTTGCAAACATCAGTACAAATACTTTCTAAAGGAATAAAAGCAAGTATTAGTTTCTTTCAACTAAAAATCCTAGTGCTGCTTCAAAGATCAAATTACAATGAAATGACTCTGTAATCTAGCTGAAGTAGCTAACACGAAGGAGAGATTTTGTGAGCCTAAGTGGATAATGACCATTTTAAACAGCGTATTTGATCTCCAGCATCATGATGAAATAGCAATTCGGTGTCTTGTTAAGGATACAATTGAAAAAAAGGGAAAACAAGCAGGGAAGTGAAAGATTGTTTCCTGCACCATGAATGCCATTTCCTACAGCTGATGAGATTTTTTCCTCACCTCTTCCACTCATGCACATATTTGAAATAAAGCAGCCAAGGAAGATTACTGTTCTACAGAGTTTTATTGTATTGCTGCTTTCTTCGCAAGACTGCTATGGACACCAATATGTAATTCATTAGCTGATGCAGCTGCATTGCGAGAATGCAGCAGAATATCATATCATATTGCTCTGGGGAAAAGGGCAAGCTGCGTTGGTGAACACGCTTCAGACTCCGGAGCTGGGCCTACCAGAACGAATGCCCAGGAGGAGCATTTTACTCTTTTGCTCGTTTTGCTTGTGTAAACTGTTCCATACTCACTACAGCAAGGGACGTATCCAACACCACGGTCTTCAACTGTGACTAGGAGGCAGCCTGATAAACAGCACATTTGAGTGGTACTGTTTGTTTGCTGACATTAGATAAAATTTAACCATAGTTTCTATATGACAGGATGCCAAGCCAACTTTTAGGAATATCTTTGACAGGGGCATTTAGGCAGGTGAGGAAGCAGTGACTACCAAAGATGGGAAAGACCAGGTCTAGAAGTATGAAAGCAGAATTCATAAAAAAAGATCCATTCATATGATAAAATTATAAACCTGGTACTGTCACATCTGCAATATGAGGTTTTATTACCCGAATGATAAATGCATAGATGGAAAAGCCAAGGAACAAAAGGAAGGACAAATTTGGAGGGGGCAAGAGGGTGGGGTTCCTTCCCCCTCTCCTTATGTGTACAGATGTATTAAAAGGTAAGTTCATATTGATAAATTTAAAAAAAAAAAAAACAAAACACAAACCCCAAAATATCTATTTTACTTATATTTTGTTATATATTAAAAAAAAAATTTCTCCTTAGGTAAGACCTTGATTGCTCACACAAGTAGTTTATGAAGAAATTACTTTATTCTTTCTTCTTAGCAGAAAATAACAGATAGTTTTATTCTGCAACCTCAAATAAATTTCTTAAAGAGCATTTGTGAATATGCAACACATTTTTTTTCCTCTACCAAGAACTGGTATAGGATGTGCTTAACAACTTAAATCTTATTTTATCAACAATAGGGGGAAATATTAGTACGATTTTTTTTGCTGTTTCTTAACTAACAATTTTGTATGAGGTAGCAATCATTTTTTGTTGATTGCCTTGCTTCCATAACAAGTCCACAGCAAGTTCATATGGCAGATGAGTCATTTGCTAGTTAGAAAAGTTACATTGGTCACAACTTTATTCTTCAAGCAAACTTTATGCAAAGCATCCTCTCCGAGCTGGAGTCTACAGTTTTAAGGACCATCTGCCTGAAGGTCTTGAAAAAAGGGCACTGCCAGTATTTTATGAAAAGTTTTATTAAATTTTCCAGCTACCCATCTAAATAGCTATTATTTTTCATCTAAATTGGTATGCCTTTCAGGATAGACTATTTGGGCTTTAGGTACTAATTTGAAAACACCAGCATTGAATACTCCTACACTTTCGGAATGCATGCTGACAAGGATCACGGTAGTGACAAGAGTTTTGCAGAATTTGAACAGAATAAGCACTAAAGCCTCATTATGATCTGAATATTATCTGAAGTGTTATGACTGACCAACCATATAACCAGCCACAGAAAAAGTAAAAGTCATATTAATCTGTAAGTACAAATTTCCTGCTCTGCAACCCCTTACATGGGGTTGCATGAATAATTTAGAAGAAACCCATGAATAATTTAGAAGTCAAAGCAGCCATGAATCCATTGAGTCCCATTCCAAAAGATCAGATCCTAATTTTAGTTCA